AGGTTCCTACCAACATGTGGCCTGGGGTCTCAGGACTCAAGGGCTGACCTGCCTCTCTCCAGCCAAGGCCTGTTAAAAATGGCAAACAAAGGGAAGAACAGGCCTGCGAATAGAAACTTCCTTTCAAGCCCTGGCAGGATCCCTTCCTTAAGCACCAGGGAGCTGAGCAGCAGCTTAGATATGCCCCAGAACTGGCACTGAGAGGCCTACACTGGAAAGAGGTAATCAGGCCTGTGTTCTAAGAAAAGCCTGAGCTCGTGGGGCCACACATCTAGAATCCACTACACGGGCCCGTCCACACTCCACACTCAGGCCCACCGAGAGTGAGCAACCCCACGGCGCCAGGGCCAACTGCCCATGTCACAGACCAGGTGGAAAGGCAGAGAGATGATGCAAAGTTAGTTAGCAGCACACTGGTGAGCCCCTGCCCTTCGTGGGAGATGGGGCCCTTACTACAGCCCAATGAAGAGAAAGTTCCAGAGGAATTTGCGGCCTTCAAGGGAAAAAAAGGTGACTGGACCTCTACACCTCAAACTTGCTTGCTGAGCTGGAAACACACAACCAAGGGGCTGTACTTAGAAAGGCAGTGACAGCAGTGGCTACGCCGAACCCTGGAGACAGGACACAGAACGCGGGCACAGGTGGGCACCTCAAGGAGAGAGCTTGATGCCTGTGTGTGAATGGGGAGCAGGGACTGAGAGGGAAGCAGGACAGCAGAGGGAGCCACAGTTAAGCTGACCCCATGATGCAGACCCAGCCACAAAGCGGAGTCACTCACACACACCCTTTTGAAGAGAGAGAGAGAGAGAGAGAGAGAGAGAGAAAGGGAGAGAGGGGCTGGAGCGATAGCACAGCAAGTAAGGCATTTGCCTTGCACGCAGTGGACCAGGGTTCAATTCCCAGCATCCCATTATGGTACCCTGAGCACTGTCAGGAGTAATTCCTGAGTGCAGAGGTAACCCCTGTTCATCACCAGGTGTGACCCAAAAAGCAGAGAGAGAGAGAGAGAGAGAGAGAAAGAGAGAGAGAAACCCTGTTATATGCCAGCACACAGGTAAATGTTAGTGACATGCTGCAGAAAAAAAAATAGGATTGAAAAAAAAAGGTACATCCTCTTCTCCTTCCACAGGGCCAGTCCAAAAGAGCTAGATTTCAAAGATGAGAAGTGGCCAGAGCAATAGGACAGTGTGTAGGATGCTTGCGTTGTACACAACTGACATGGTGGGTTCGATCTCTGGCTTCCCATCAGGTCCCCTAAGCCCTGCCAGAAGTGATCCCTGAATGCAGAGCCAAGAGTAAGCGCTGAAGACGAGCAGGTGTAGCCCCGAAACAAAACAAAATCAAAAATATGAGAGGGAACAGCTGAGAGTGCAGAACATCCCCACAGCACCTTTCAGCCCAAGCCCTGGAAGGAGAGCTGGAAGGAGGCAGAGAGATTTCACGAGGGTGTACTGATAATAACCAAGCATGATAAGACAGCTTGTAGAATGAGACCGGAGCTGAGAAAAGGAAGACAGAAATGAAAGAAGTTGTGATATGGGAATTTGGGAGTGGACGGTGGAACTCCAACAGCATCTACTAAATTTTCTTTTAGCTCAGCTTGTGCCCTGCCTGAAGTGCTGGCAGAGGAAGACGACCTGGACAGTGGCGCCTGGACCGTGGGCACTTTGTGCAGAAGAATTCAGCTCTCTGAAGTAGGGGGACAGTAAGTACACATCAGTGAGGTGACGGGGTGCCCCAACTCCTGAACCCAGAGGAGTCCTTAGCTGAAGGAACACGAGGGCAGAACCAAGCCTCTCCCAACAGTCTCACACCAACACCTGGCCAAGGGTTCAGATGTACAAGGCACGCATGAAGGCCAATGTTGACAAAACAAACCACCCCATTAGAACATGGGGAAAAGAGCTAAACAGACAGTTTTCCAAAGAAATACAAATTGCCACCAGGGCCATGAAAAGCTGCAAAGCATCCCTAACTATCAGGGAAATCAAGGACAATGAGCTTATCACCCCACACCATAGAGAATGGTCCATTTCGGAGTCTGGAAACCACCGATGTGAAGGGGATGTTGGGGCAAAGGAACCTCCTATTCACTGCTGGTGGGAGTGTAAACTGGACCACCCTTTATGAAAAATGTTATGGAGACTTCCTCAAAAAGTAAACCAGAAAAATCATATGATGAGATGCTTCCACTTCTAGGTATCCACCAAAAAAAAAAACCACAAGAAGACAAATTTAAAAATATACATGCACAGTTCTGTTCACTGCAGCACTCTACAGTGACCGGTATCTGGACACCACTCAAGCATCCGATGACTGATGAGTGGATAAAGAAGGGTATACTGGACCAGAAGAAAGAGTATAGTGGGTGGGGCGCTTTCCTTTCATGTGGCAGACCTGGGTTCAATCCCCAGCATTTATATGGTCCCTAAGCATTGCCAGTAATATTTCCTGAGCTCAGAGCCAGCAGTAAGCCCTGAGCATCACGGAGTGTGGCTCAAGACCAAATAACGAAACAAAACTGTGTTTACACACACACACACACACACACACACACTGAACTACTACTTAGCTACATAAAGATGAAATCTTGTGTTTTACCTCTACTTGGATGGAACTGGTGAGTGTCACGCTAAATGAACTAAGTCCCAAGGAGAAAGAAAAACAGAACATCTCACATACAGGGGAGAGCAAAGCAAGGGGAGAGACAATGTCCAAAGGGAACCAACCCATCAACTGAGGACTGAACTGAAGCTCCTGAGGCACATGAAGGACTGAATGGGAAAAGTCTCAGGGTCCACCAGGGAAGGAGGGTAGTGGCGCTTCAGTGGCGCTGTACTCCAAAATCACAGAAACGTACACTCTTGTAAACCAACGAAGATTCTCCCACTTCTCAGAACCGTCTTCCTCTTCATTCCCATGCCAGCACTTTCCCCCTCTGCTCCCTCCCCACTGCTTCCTGACCCTTGCAAAGTTCCCTTTTCTCAGAATACTTGGATCTGCATGGGTCTTCCAAAGCTGAAATCGATGTTCCTTCACCACTGAGCTTCCATGCACATCCTTTCAAGCAGTAGGTTCAAGACAGAGGAAACTTGAACTGGGTCTGGGGTCCCAACACAAGAGAATGAAAATCCACCTGATGCTCAGGTGTCACAGATGTGGCTGTAACCTTCAGCGAGTCCTTGAACCCCTCAGAGAAACTGGGAGACCAACTCTTGTTCTCAATTTTTGGCACCAGTTCTTTCCACAGAGGATGGCTGGGAAGACAAAACTGAATTTGCAGGAAACTCATGAACAGCTTCGCTCGGGCAGGGTGAGGCTTAAGATGCTGCTCCTTTGTCAGCCATCCAAAGGATACAAAGGAATTTAAAAAAACTCTGAGATACATAACGATGCCAGGGCAATAGCTGGCACCACTTGTCTGCAGTGGTTGTCTGATGGGTCACTCTTTCCTCACTCAGTATTTACTCACCAACCAGCAGATGGTGAAGACCAGTCCTTCATCTAACTGTGAGTAAGACAGGACTGGCATGTGACAACCAAGTCAGGATAGTTCCCCATGCTGCCTGTCCCCACAGAAGAAGGAACAACAGCCAAGATCTCGGGGGGCAATGGGCCTATTACTCAGTCCTTGACGTCACATCAACCTACCAGACTTTGTCTTTTTCTGGAACTTCTCCTTTCGAGCCTGTGAAAAAGCAGTTCGCCTGAAGTGGGTTTCGGGTGGGAAAATGGCATTTGGACAGATAATCCCATTACTGGCGGATAGAAAAACATGCTGATGCACCTGTCTTACAAGAAGGCTTTGCTATAGATCCGTTCTGCTAAGATTGCGGCGGCAGCTAATTAGTACCTCTATTACTTTTTTAACCCAAAGGATTTCTCTTAATTTTCGTGAGGGTCTCCTGCCCCACCTGAACAATCTTCTTTCTGTCTTTCCAAACTTTTTTAATGCCATTTTCTTTTGGAATATACAGGCACTGTCCAGGGAATGGCATGTTGCTTCCCCAAGGCTCTTAAGTTACTCTCCCCAGGTGGCACGGCTGTGCCTTCCCCTCTGGAGAGATCCAGAGAGACACAGCTATTTCAGCGCTCGGAAAGCTAATGAGACACAGAGATGACCACAACCACGATGAGGGCGCTTCTGCTGGCATTGCGATCCCACTTAGATGCAACCACTTTCTACCGCATTTGCAAAGTACTAGACAAAAACTGTGGGTCCAAGAACTCACAACGGTCACAGTGACCAAGTCAACTGACAGCTTATCCCATTAGCTTATTAGCAGTGTGCCTCATTAAACAGCTCTCGTATGCCTGTAAAAGAACCCCAGTAAACTTTACAGCTTTTATTTCTTGCAGCCTCTCCCATGACTCCAAACAGCAAAGCCTGACCTGCAGCGGCCGCAGCCCGGTGGGTGTCAACCCCAGCCAGCTGTGGAGCAATCGTGTGGAATGAATTAGTAAGCCGGAGTTCAGGAGAGTTCCTCGGGCTGCAGGTTCCAAACATCTCACCACAAACCAGCGCGCCCCTGCCTTGCGCCATCACTCCAGGGGCAAGAAAACGCCCAGGTCCCGGCAGCAGCTGGAGGCTGCGCTCAGTGGACCTTAGTAGGCGAGGGACGGGGGCGTGGGATGAGGGGGCAGAGAGGAAACTGCTGGGCTCGGGTCCTCCTGCTGGGCCCAGCTCCCTTCAGCGCCAGCTCTGCAGGTGGCATGACCAGCCCGAGAGGCAGAGCGTCGCGGTCGCGCGCGCAGCCCTCGCCCGCCTGCGCCTTCTCGGTCATGGGAAGAGGGTGTGACCCAAGGAGAACTGCAGGTGGGACCGGGCTGGGAAGACTCCAAAACCTTTTTCCACGCGTTCTCCAGCCCCGGGGCAGAAGGACCCGCACTCCCCCCCCGCCCCGCACCCCATCACGCCCGTGCCATCGCATCCCCGGCCACCAAATCCAGGTGCCAGCCCCCCCCCCCGGGGGGTGGGGAAGGGGGCGCCGCTCACTCACCTGCGTGAAGTACAAGTTCATCAGCGTGAGGGTGAAGAACTGGAGGCACACTGGGAAGCAGTAGAGCAGCCAGAAGACAAAGGGGCTGAGCGCGTTGGCCGCCACGAAGTCCCTGAAGTAGAAGGAGAAGAGGACGGTGCGCAGGGAGGCCCAGAAGAGGCAGAGGAAGAGGAAGACGCTCTGGTAGCTGAGCCGCTTGTGGCGGTAGCGCAGCACCAGCCAGAGCTGCACGTAGATGAACACGAAGAGCAGCGAGTAGAAGACGGTGTAGACGATCGTCAGGCCGAGCTTCACGTAGGGGGGCACGGCCGGGGTCAAGGTGGGCGGCAGCGTGTCGTTGCGGAGAGGGTCCCAGGGCGGGGCCTCCATGGGGCCCGAGGCGCTGCGGCGCGGCCGGGGCCGCTCGGGCCTCATCGGGGCTCGCCCCCGCCGCCGCCGCCCCCGCGGGGGTCTCCACGCATCGCGCTGCTCCTCCCGGAGCCCGGCGACTGGAGGAAAGAAAACAAGCCGCACTTCCTCCCCCGGCACCACATGATTCACTGGGGCGGCCTTTGTCTGCGATTGGCGGCGCCGCGCCCGCCGCCCCCGCGTGCCGGCCGGCCCCGCGCGCCCCCGCCCCGCACCGCGCGCCCCCGCCCCGCCCCGCGCCGCGCCCCCGCCCCGCCCCGCGCCGCGCGCCCCCCGCCGCGCCCCCGCCCCGCGCGCTGCCCCGCGCGCTCCCGACCCGACCCGCGCACTCTCCCGTGCGCCTCCGATCCGCCCCGCGCGCGGCCCGCACCCTTCCCGCCCGGCCCCGCGCGCCCAGTGGCCCCAGGTCGGGCGCGTACCTTCCCCCCGGCCCCGCAGGGTCCCCTTCGGCCCGCACGCGAAAGCCAGACCGACCCTTGCGGGCGCCTCTGCGGCGCCGCCCGAGACGGTTCTCCGGCTTCGCGCTTTCTTGTTTTGCACAAGTTCTGTCCTTTATTTCTGAAACAACAAACTTTGCAAGTCCTATTTTTGTTCTGTGTTGTTTTCCCTGTCTAAGCAATAGAAGTTGACGATTCTATGACCCGGTCGCCGTTTTTTCTTAGCGGGGCGAGGCGGGGGGTGGGGGTGGGGGTGGGGGGAGGTTGTTGTGAAAGGGGGGATGTTTATTCCTAAAAGCAGAAAATTCCAAAGACAGGGTTTGCGTTTGGGTTTTTGAGGTCAAGTGTGTAAACTCAAAGAGGAAGGAACTGTCCCTGTGGCTGCTGCCTAGGCTGGGCTGTGAGCACGACTGTCTCCCCCAAGCTGGGCACCCCGCACAGAGCACGATGCCGAGGGCTGTGGGGGGCGGGATACGGGGGCGGGGGGGGGGGGGAGGAAATAGGGTGCAATGGATTGACTGCAAGCCCGCCACCTGCTGCCTCATCTACACTCCAACACCTACTTCAGGGTGGGACCCCGACGCCCCAAACCACCGAGTCCCCGAGTTCGCTGTCATCGAGAGGGTCCCAGCTCCTCCCCCGCGGCCAGGTAGTCTGATTCCCCGACCCAAGGTCGCTTCTCTCGCGGCGCGGGGTCCGCGAGGTGCTGAACCCGGCACAGCTGCACGGCAGCATGTCTGGACAGCGAGGCGAAGAAGCGAAAGAAAGGGACCCGGGGATCCAAATAATCTCTGGTAATTTTTTACGATTTCTTTTCCCTCCTTAAATCGACAGTCTGCTTCCTCCCTACTTGCGTGTTCTTTTACTTAAAGCAGGGTCCCGCAAAGCCTAGAGTCAGCTCTGATGTTGCTCTCGATTACAGAACATTTACACACACCTCAAACGTATTTCCGACCCTTCTCTGGTGGACACTGCCTCTGGTGTCAAGCCCCACTTCTCTACCTTCTTTCGTCCTATCGCTAGTTCAAATGAAAATATGACATTGGTCTCTGGGCCCTGGGCTGTTCCCCTGAATTGGTTCTGTGCAGTGTAGCCAGCATTCTCTTTCAAAGGCGTCAGTAGAACTTGGCCTCTTCCAAGCTTAAATTCCGTTTTTCTTTCTCCTTCCAGTGCTGTGAACATCAAGTCCAAGCTGCTACCTCGCTTACCTCTCTGACGTGTCTCTTAAGAAGTATGAAGACATGTTAATCCTTGTTAACTCCTCTCTGCCTAGAAAATTCTTACCACCCCTTTCTCCAACAACTGGTCACAACCTAGTCACCCCTGATGGGACTTCTTTCTCCCCAAAGTCTTCTGGAACTACTCACCTGCCATCCACTCAGAATTCAGTGCACCACTTGTGTGCTCATAGAGCACTCCCATATACTCATTGATCATCTGACTTTTTTTTAATAAGTTTTCCTGAGGCTAGAAAGAGCACCTTGCTTGTGTCTTACCTGGGCTTGCCGGTACCTTGCCGGTCTTACCTGGGCTTGCCGGTACCTTTAAAAAATAGTTTTATATTTTATAAAAATATAAAAAAATAGTTTTATATTTTGCTTTTCTGCTGAAAGAATACTGATAGTCATCTGAGGCTCACTGCTGGCATAAGGAGGAACAGGGCATTTGTCCACTAAAGGGCATTTGTCCACTCCTGGTATGAATCTGTCCCTGAAATGCCACACAATGCATCCACTTGTACCTTCTGGGTGGACCACGGTTATCTGAATGAAAACAATTTGTGGCATGGAGCCAAGGTTGACCTAAGTCTGAATTAAAATGGGAAGTCAACCTTGCCAGATGGAACAAAGCAGCTTTTAGAGTCTTTTGCTTATTGGGAATAATAATAAAATTTTTAAAATCCAGGGGATTTCTTTCAGTTATCTGTTATTAAATGCATAATCATCCATTGTCATCACACTTAATCTTCAATATAAACTGACCAGTTAAACCGAGATGTAGGAAGTCACCACTCCTGTAGTATTCAAGTTCAGGTCTAAGAATTGGCTGGGAGTGCAAGATTGTCAATGACTTAAGTCGGGCCACTTTTGTTATGCTTCTGTCCTATGCATTTTGTAGGATCATAGAGGACTACCCACATATTTTGGTTTGAAGGACTCAACTCCTTAGCCAAGTAGTTTTCACTACAGAAAGCTGATGTGCAGACAATTTGATTCCCATATTTTCCTGGAATGACTTCCTGGAATGAGACCTATTTTCTACAGTGATACCACTTTTCCTGGTAATTATGCCACTGCACCCAGGACTCTGACAAATATGAAAATGTCTGTTCAGTGCTGCAGCCCTCAGTGGAGGCCCTGATGTGCATGAAGCCACAGTAGTGCTTTTAAAAAATGGTGACACCGAGAAGCATGCTGAAAGTAGACTATAGACCAAACATGATTGCCACTCAATGCCTCTTTTGCAAACCACAACACCCAAAAGGAGAGAGAGAGAACAAAAGGGTATGCCCTGCCACAGAGGCAGGGTGGGATGGGGGGATGGGGGTGGGAGGGATACTGGGATCCGTGGTGGTGGGAAATGGGCACTGATGGAGGGATGGGTATTTGATCATTGTATAATTGAAACCCAAGCACAAAAATTTGTAAGTCTACAACTGTACCTCATGGTGTCTCACTACTAAAAATTTTTTAAATAAAAAATATGGAGCGATAGCACAGCGGTAGGGCGTTCGCCTTACAAGCGGCCAACATGGCCGACCCGAGTTCGATTCCTCCGCCCCTCTCGGAGAGCCCGGCAAGCTACCGAGAGTATTCGATATGCCAGACACAGTAACAACAAAGTCTCCAATGGAGACGTTACTGGGCCCGCTCGAGCAAATCGACGATCAACGGGAGGGCCTTTACCTTTACCTTTAATTTAAAAAAATGGTGACACCGGAGCTGGAGCGATAGCACAGAGGGTAGGGTATTTGCCTTGCACGTAGCCGACCTGGATTGAATTCCCAGCATCCCATATGGTCCCGAGCATCACCAGGAGTTAATTCCTGAGTGCAGAGCCAGGATTAAGCCCTGTGCATCTCCAGGTGTGACCCAAAAGCAAAAAACAAAAACAAAAAACCCAAAAAAATGATGACACCTTCTTCATCAATGCTTTAATAAAGAGGTGTCTCTGGTCCCTCTTGGGGCATAGAATTAGGGAATTGGTGGATGAGCAGTATACAATATATCCATTACAACATTCCTATTTTGTTGGATCCCTATTTCTACATTTTTCCAAAGAAATACTGGCATCTCAGCGTCTCCTGGTGTGGATCATCAGCTTTGGTACAAGCAGGCTAGCAAACAGAATACTTCCCTTCTCTAGGAGGCACCCTGAGCTCTTGGGAAGAAAACATCCTGTTCCTCCCTCCCCCGTTGAGCACCCTCAGACTTGAATTCCTCGTGTATTTCCAATGAGTTTGCCTAGATAAAGAACATACTTGTACAGCTTTTGTTTTTTAGTGTATTTTCCTCCAACCAGGTTTGACTTTATAACATGAGGGATATATTGGGTCTAGCTCTAGTTTGGATATGAAACACTTCTTAAGTAGTGAAGTAGATAAGGACATGGATTCCCCTGAAAAATGCCACTTCCTCAGCAAGAACAATAAAGGTGCTCCAGCCAGGGAGAACAGCTTCTTTACCCCAGTATAAGGGGGAACTTCCTGAGACAAGGACAGATTGTATGCAGTGCTCAATCTCAAATGATCCCATTTGCCGTTTCCTACTTCCATTCTTTCCAAAGAGCTCCTTAACTATTTAGGACAGACAAGAGAAGGTAGTCAACTAGATAGATGGTGTAGGTCAGGAACCCATAGAACCTCCCAATTAGTCGAGTTGCAGTTGAAAAAATAAAGATATTCTTTTAGTAGTCATTAAAGCCCTGGTTTCAGTCTATGGCTTGAGCTAGACCTTAAACCCCTGCCCATTCATTTCCTAAACTTTCTTTCCAGTAGTATCAACCACTGCAACCTATAGATATCATATTCTTGGTGCCCTTCTTAATGTTTTCTGGGAGCACTATATGTTTCCTAGCAACCTTAAGGTCAGTGAGAGCCTCAGTGTTCTGGGTGACCTTCACTATAAGTGGTCAAACTTGATGCTTTTTGCCATGATGGGTCTTAATACATTTGACTTCCAATTGCTCTTAGATCCAGACAGACCAGATTACCAATTTCACCCCTATCCCATACACACACACACACACACACACACACAAACACACACATGCTCAAGCAAACAACCACCCCATTTCCTGAAGATATGTTGCTGCCATTTTGGGTGTTAGATATGCTCAGGACACTTGGTTGCAAGCAACAGAATAAACCTAGGTTAACTTTTTAAGTGTTAATTTTATTTTTTAAATGTTCCACCTTCCTCTTTGGGGGGGTGTTGCTGTGATGAGCAGATGTAGTACATGCTGTGTTGTGGTACTCATACACTTGATTGTAGTGCTTGACAGCGTTTGTACACTTTAGTCACAGAGTTTGCATACACGAGTGCTGGGTATCACAGTTCTGCTTACCGTGCTCCTTCAGGGTCCATGTAGCACCCACACTTGTGCTCCTTGGGGATCACACTCCCAGAGGTGGTGCATATCTTCAGCAGGGGCCCACATTTTATTACGGTGCTCAGACACACCTTACCCTAAGGCGCTGGAGACTTTGTGTTCTGCTGTTGGTAGAGGAGCAGAGCTGTTGGGATTATGTTGGGTGCAAGTGGGTGGCACT